GGCATGTATATATATATATATATATATATATATATATATATATATATATATGCACGAAGAATTCCCATTTGAAATCTAATCATTGGTCGACCGAATGTGTACCCGTGAAACAGCAAACAACATCAACTTGTCTTAATGATTAGACAATTAAAAACTAAGAAAAACACAAATAACTATCACTTATTTAACCACCTGGCCCTAATGGTTCAAACCAATGCTTAGTGATTGTTTTTCTACCGCCTCATTAAACATTTGACACAAATTGTGACGTATTAGCCTGCAGAGGAATCACCACTACAAAGCATCTTGTTCACCATTGTGAAGTTTTCATGCCATGTATAATGATGTTTTATTTCAGCAATTACAAATTACTCAGTACGTATTTAGCTATTAGACCATGATTGTGTAATCGTTTTAGAGAGGGAACATTGTCGTCCAGTAACTAAAAATCTCATTAATTTATCCAGAGTAGTCTTTTGTATTGTAAAATTTGAACTAAAAGCGGGCAATAAATATGGCCAGACCCTTTTTGAGAAGAATGACCAGTACTATTGATAAACTATCTCCCTATTGTCTAGGCTATGACTCAGCTGACATTCTCCGACACGGAAGTGTTTTTGCTCCTGGTCATTTCCACCTCCTTGGCTGTATACGGTGGTGTGGTATTTATGTTACTCCTGGCCGCGACCAGCGTACCGCGACCTTGTCCTGCGATTGGCTACTACGGTTCGGATCCGTCGTTCAAAGAACGAGTCGGATTGGCACTTTATTGCCAACTGGCCAAGATCGGATTAATGGTGAGTCCGGTTGGATATCATCGATGACACAATGGAATTCGTTCACATTATCATGTGAACAACTAAAGCTACCTTGATTTAGTTCGGATGGCACTTCGCTGAGTGTGAATCGGGCCAGGTCTAAGCCAATGTAAATGATAGACTGGGCGGTAACATGTACACATGATCCATCCTGTTCGACGTGCCCATTCAATGAATCGATCAGAGAAATTCGTTTGCATGTTTTGACCGGGCTCGGTAAGTGATTCCCTCTTCTTTTTGATCTTCATTATAGATGAAATGAGAGGAGGAAAGAATCACACTTTTGAGTGTTGACTGACTGATATTCACGAATCCGTTGTGTTTTTCCACTTCATCGAGTATCGTGTTTTGTGGTAGTCCTTAAAGTCTATTCTTTGGATAATTCCGCTAATCAAAGTAGATACGAATTACGGATCACGAGCCACGGTCGCCACTGAAACATACCATCACCATGGCAATCGTACACTGGAACCTTCCATCATCGAGACGCCACAGAAATAGCGGTTTATTTATTGAAAGAAATATGCGATGGGTCTCGTAAGCAGGAGGCACCTGGGAATATTCGGGATTGAGAAGAAGGACTAGACAGATGAGAAAGATGGTTTTCCAAATGGGTACCCAAGACTTTAGGGCACGGCATACTTTGCGGCAGCCCACACTGACGAAGGGGTTTTCTTTGAGAACCTTAACCGGAGCCTTTGACTCAAAAGTCTGACCCACAAGGCAGCGGGAATTTGTGGGGTTTCCTTTAAGAACCCTGACCGGAGCCTTCGACTCAAAAGTCTGACCCACNGGGGCGTAAATCCAACGCGGAAGCGTGAATGGAGTACCTGCATGGGAGCTTTTAGTGTTGCCATGTTCGATATGCGTTTGCATCTTCAAAGTGTAAAATGCTACTACAAGACTGGGTTGATCCAGCACCCAGTCTCACCCTAAGCGGGGAAGTAGACAAATTTTGCCATCTGGGTAGCTATATCTCACCTGGCGGACGAGTCACAGATGAAGTGTCGGCACGCATACAAAAGGCTCGATTGGCATTTGCCAACTTGAGACATTCGTGGCGCCGTCGCGACATCCGACTGTCTGTGAAGGGTCGAGTGTATGCTGCAGCAGTTCGGCCAGTCCTGCTCTACGGTGCAGAGTCTTGGCCACTAAGGAAATAGGATAAAAATAGATTGTCGGTGTTCGAACACCGCTGTCTACGTAGC